TCCTCTTTCTTTTCTTTCTTTCTTTTTTTTTTTGCAGTACTGTGAATAGACCTCGGAGGCCCCACATGCCACTCAAGTGCCTTTGAGGCCAAATACATTAATGTTCTGATTAAACTAACCACAATGGATCCCGCTCTTTGCAACCACAAACCCTAACTGGCGCCATCCTCAAATATGGTCATTTTTCCCATTGTTCTTCGGGTCAGTGGAACTTTTCTTTCTCTGACCTCAGACTGAGCCCGAACAGTTACAGGTGACAAATCCAGGACAGTGGTATTTACTCCTTGATGGTTGTCCCAAGCTATGCAAAACCCATTAAAGCTTTTAAAATTTAAAAAGAAAATTTTAATCTTTATTAAATTTATTGGTACATATAGGTATACAACACAGTTACGTTCATCATGGGGTTCTTGTACCTACACATGACTTATCAGGCTCTTATTTTTCTCCATTCCCCACCCCTCCCGTCAGCTCCTTCCCCCTTCCCTGTTTACGAAAACATTGTTTCCATGTTTTTCCTTTTCACAAATTTTTTCTTTTCCCTTTTTCCCTTTCCCCTACCCCTCCCACTTCCTCTACTCTTTTAGGTTTTCTTCCTAGTACACAATATCCGTTATACATGTTAATCCTTATTTATACTTTACTTTTTCACATCAGGGAAACTATTCAGTATTTACACATGTGTAGCTTACTAATTTCACTTAAAAATGGCCTCGGTGTGCACCCATATGTGTAAATCTCTCTAGTTTTCCATTCTTTGTGGCTGAGTAGTACTCCATTTTATTTTTTAAAAACCCACATCTTCTTTATTCAGTCGCCAGTTGATGGGTAATTGGGCTGTTTCCAAGTTTTAACTATTATAAACTGTGCCACTATAAACATGGGTAAGCATATATCACTGTGGTATGATTCTTTTAATTCTTTTGGCAAGATACCCAGCAAAGGAATAGCTGGGTCAAATGGGACTTTTAATCCTAGTTGTTTGCAGTATCTCCATATTGATTTCTACAGCGTTTGCACCAGTCTGCACTACCACCAACAATGGAGAAGGGTTCCTTTCTCCCCACAACCCCACCAACATTTGTTATTGGTTAATTTCTTGATAGCAGCCATTCTTTCTGGGGTGAGGTGGAATCTCAGTGTTGTTTTCATCTGCATCTCTCAAGTGACTAGTGATGTTGAACATTTTTTCATATGATTATTTACTGCTTTTACTTGTTTGTCTGAGAAATGTCTGTTCATTTCAGATGCCCATTTTTGAATTGGGTCTTTATATGGGTCTGATCTTTTTGAGTTCTTTACATATTCTAGATAGTAGACCTTTGTCTGAGGAACAGCTGGTAAAAATTTTTTTCCACATTGCGTGTTGTCTCAGCTCTGCTTATGATTTCTCTGGCAGTGAGAAGCTTTTTAAAAAGATGAGATCCCAGTTGTTGACTCTTTGTGAGAGTTCCCGTGCTACTGAGGATTTGTTCATGAAGACTTTTCCTATGTCAATATCTTCAAGATTTCTACCTAACTTATCTTCCAGCAAGTTTAGTGTTTCTGTTTTAATATTTAGATCTTTAATCCACTTGGATTTTAGTTTAGTGCCTAATGAAAGATACAGGTCTAGTTTTAATCTTTGGAAAGTTGAAATCCAGTGTTTCCAACACCATTTATTAAAGAGGTTATCTCTCCTCCAGCGAGGATGGTTGGCTCCTTTGTCAAAGATGAGGTAGTTAGGTATATCAAGAGATGTTTCTGCATCTTCTAATCTATTCCACTGATCCTCGGGTCTGTTTCTTTGCCAAAAGCTTTTCTTAAAAAATCATTACTTATTAGACAAAGTTAGATCTGGGGCAGATTGTTCTAATGGACTCTGTGTCATAGATCTGTTTTATTTTTTTGAGAGGGGATCACCTGTTGTCCTGGCTGGCCTACAGTCCCTGGGCTCATGTTATCCTTCCTCCTTGGCCTCCTGAGTAGTTGGGACTGCAAGAACACGCCTCTGTGCCTGGTTCTCCTGGACTGTCTGAAGGAGAATGAGAGAGAGTGTTGCCCAGCTGGACCCCTCCCAAGGCTGTGTGTGTGTGTGTGTGTGTGTGTGTGTGTGTGTGTGTGGGGGGGTTGTGTAGCTCGGTTACCATTGCCAGTTACCCGTGTGGTAGGGGTGGACCAATATCAGGCTCCATGCTTAGCCTTTTACACACATTATTTTGTTTCATATTTCACATCCTATGAATTCTGTGAGATAGAGTGCCTTATTGTCCCCATTTTATAGGGACAAAGGTAGAGTGGTGGAGATGTCACAAAGTGAGTGATACACTTGCTTCCTGGGATAGCCAGACAAAGTACTAGAAAAAGTGTCTTTAACAACAGGAATTTGTTCTCTCATAGCTTTGGAGGCCAGAAGTCAACAGTCAAGGTGTTAACAGAGCTGTGCTCTTTGTAAAGATGCTGCAGAGAGATCTCTTCCAGGCTTCTCTCTTAGCTCTGAGAAGTTCAGCGCTCATGATTTTAATCCTTGCAAGATGTGAAGACACCCTATTTGTCTCCCGTTTTTCCCATTTAATAAAGACACCAGTGGTGTTGCATTAAGGTCCATCCCAACTTGATTCCTTTGTAAAGAAGCCCATCTCCAAATAAGGCAAATTCAGAGGTGCTAGAAGTTCGTACTGTCTGGACCCTTTATGAAGTCTCAAAATTCAACCCACAGCAGCTGAAAGTTATAGTACCCAAGCCTGTACGACAGACCCCAAGCCTTTGCTTTGGGGCAAAAGAAAGACTATACAAGTGTAGAGGTTATAATCTTCATCCAGGTTTCAAAGGGTCCAAATCCCATGTCTTCATTTGGGGTTCACAGGACAAAGAGGGCCAGGAGTTTACTGGGCCAGGTGGAAATGGGGCAGAGAGAAAAGGAAGCCAATCTGCATTGAATCATCAAACCACTGCCATTGTGCCTGGCGCTTAAGCCCGTGAGGATGCTGGCAGGACACACTTCTCCGACCCAGTTTCCCTCTCTGTAAAATGGAATAGGATTATCTGCTCCAAGAAATTCAATGTCTTGCATGGCATTAATTGTGGTCTGAAGAGCTCTGAACACCACAGAGCAAAGCAACTTATTTCTGACCACATGCAGTTTTGTTTTTTGGGTTTTTTTCCTGGTTACAGGGATGGGACTCAGGACCTTGTGCTTGCGAGGCAGGCAAATGCCACTGAGCTAAACCCCCAGCCCAGATTACACGTGCTTTTCTAAAAAAATGTAATTTATTGGTACATTCTAGGTAGACAGTACAGTTACATTCATTACTGGGATCTTGTACCTTTACATGCCAGGTCTTGGTTCTCATTTTTTCCCCTTGTCCCCACCCTCCCTTCACCCCCTCCTCCCCTCCCCACCTTCAAACACTTTAATTCCATTTTTACATTTTCTCATATTTTTTTCCTTTTCCCTTATTCCCCCTTCCCTATCCTTCTCACTGTCCCTGCACTTTGGTCCTTTTCTTCCTATTTGCTAATTGTCCCATTAGGATCTTGAGTACTATTATAGTTTTCACACCAGAGATACTATTCAGTATTTGCATATGTGTGCCTTATTTATTTCTCTTAGAAGTATATCCTCAAAATGTACCCATTTAACTATGAATGAATCTACTTTCTCATTCTTTATGGCTGAGTAGTATTCCATTTTATAGAAAAACCATATCTTCTTTATCCAGTTTCCAATTGATGGGCAGATGGGCTGTTTCCAAGTTTTAGCTATTACAAACTGTGCTGCTATAAACATGGGTGCGCATATATCACTGTGGTATGATTCTTTCAACATGTGCTTTTAATTTGCTTCGTTCCTGACTGCTTTCCTAGTGTGCTGTCTGTTGCACTAAAAATACAAGTAGCATTTCTTGTAGCATCTCCACCTGGAATCTGCCTCAGGAGGGCCACAGCCTCTTCTACGTGGAATATGACTTCTTCAATGGGATCTTAAAACTGCCTTGCTTCACTGAGAGCCTCCATAGCGTTCAGGACCTGGGGAAAGCATTCCCAACCCACCCTGCCCTTTATTTGCCTACTGGCCCATTAAACTTGTGGCAGAGACGGTGGCGGTGGGGCGGGGAAGGCGCGATTCTCTTTGGGACCAGAGATACTGCATCGCTTCTTCAGACCCAAAAGTTACTCTTAAGAAAGGCTCGGACTGGGGATTTAGCTCAGTGTGCTGCTGCCTGCCTCGCAAGCACGAGGTCCTGAGTTCGATTTCCGGTACCACGGCCCCCCACACCCCCAGGTTCTACTAGGCCTGTAGCTCAGGGGCGCCCCGCCTGCCTGGCCAGAGCAAGGTCCCGAGTTCGTTTCCCAGAACACACCCCAAGCGAGGCTCTGCTGACACCTTGTGGCAGTAGTGAGAAGTACAACTTTCACCTTCAGCGGCAGGCAGCCTACCCCTTACCTAGGAAAATTCAATTATTTGGGTATGTGATCTGGTTTTTCAGGGAAAGCCTCCAGCAGGAATGTTGACAAATCAGGTTTCTGTCAAGGTCCAGGGCTGTGCAGGCACTGTCTTTAGCTGCTTTTAACTTGGCCTCTAAAAGGGAGAACAATCAGCTTCCTTCTTGGCTCCATGACTAGTGGTCTGGAACCGGAGCCAGGAACCTGGATCGTTCACCCAACCTCTTCAGCACCTGCCGCCCTGTGGATCTCCTCATCTCTGTCACCTCCATGACCAGTGTGACCTTCTGGGAAGGGCACATCGCCGTCCTCACCTTTAACGCCACCTCCACATACTTTAAAAGGCCTCGCTAGAAGAACCCATATTCCTTTCTTCTTTACCTCCACACCACCAACCACAGCCTTGCTAGCCGCACCTCCTGCACCTGTCACCACATCACCACCATCCCTTGGTAACACGTTCCTCGTCGCACTGCGGCCATCACCTCCAACCCCAGTCCTAACACCGTTTATGTCACCACCACCCCACCTGCGCTCTCTTCACTTTCCTTCATGTCATCCCCACTCCTAATCCTGTATTCTATTCAGCAGCTCTTAGAGTCAAACAGGAACGATACAGAGAAAAGTAGCAGGGCCCCTGTGCAAGGTCGACACAGTAGAGTTCCACAATTAAAAAAATACATCTTCTTGTCTTGTAAGAGGACTTGCTGGAGGATTAACCAGATCTCTGCGACCTCAAAATTGTTTGCATTACCCCAACAACAGTGGTAATACATCATTGGAACTTAGAGCACATCAAGGGACCCTCACTGTGGGGAGCTGGCACAGGGCAAGGGGAGTTGTGATGTGTGGATGCCATCTTGCTAGAGATTGGTTGCAGGGGCAAGGAACGATAGGAGTGTCATTTATTTATGTGTCCTTTTATGAGCCAAGTAGTAGGATTTTTCCAAGTGCCTCTTGTATAGCAAGCACTGGCCTAGGTGTTTGCCACTGTTTAGACAACTCTAATGAGAGGCGTAACGGTCCCCACTTCACCAGTGAAGAAACTGAGGCTCAGAAGAAACAGAGGTATGGGAATATTTTAAAAACCATACAGCCTGGATGTTGAGGACTGGGGTTGAGGCCTAGATCCAATTCCAAATCCCAGTCTCTGTATCCTACTGCCTCTTACAACTGAGCATCAAGATTATTGTAGCCTACTCCATAATTACAGAAATTAGAGAAGAAACATAAATGTCCACCAGAAGGAGGTTGATGGGCTACTACGACCTCATTAAAAAGAATTTTGCTGGTCTGTATGCATCGCTGTGGAAAGATGGACAAAGATTTACCTGAACAAAAAATCAAATCAAACTCCAAAGGAGATATAAATCGTTCCTTTTGATGTAAAATATATTTGTAGACCTGTAAATGGATGACTTGAAATTTCTTTACCAAAGTACTTTTGTTTGTTTGTTTTAGATAGGTCTTGCAGTGTAGTGCAGGCTGGGCTTGCACTGGTAGCAATCCTCCTGCCTCAACTTCCCGAGTGCTTGGATTACAGGTGTGTGCCACCATGCCAGGTTGTTCACCAATAGATTTAGAGCAGTTATTTCACAGAGAATTTTATAAGATTTTTAAAAAACTATTTTAATTGGGCATAGTAATACATGCCTGAAATGTCAGCTATAGGGGAGGCTTGAGCAAGAATATTGCATGACGAAGGGTCCTTACTCCTGTGGTTGAGGGAAATCTTGGCTTTCATCTCTCGGAGGAGGGGCTATAAGTGCAGAGGAACCGGACTCTATCTGGAGGTGCGAACACTCACCTTGGAGAGGCCCTAAATCAGTACCTTTGTCTTCTCTGGAATACCAGCCTCAGCCTCATCTGCTGCAGACTTGAGTCTAGGACAACTTGAGCTGGTGAATAGCACCTTGGGGCCTCAGTTTCCCCACATTTAAAGAGTGGGCTGGACAAAATGATCCCCAAGGGAGAACAGAGCAGCTGCTCTCCATCTGTGATTGGTGGTTCAGATCCAAAGCCTCCAGCTAGTTTTCTCAACACCCCAGAGGAAAGCTCCCCGTCTGCTGGTTTGTTTATGTAATTTTCAAACAATGAGTTCATTGTTTCATATAAATAATAGTACTTATTGTAAAAGATCAAGCTGCACCGAACAGTACAAACCAGAAGCCCTGACTGTGGTCACCACACAGCTCCTCTGTGATGCCTCCCATACCACTCATGCTCTGTGTGGGCAGCTCTGCCCTGTCCTTTTCTTTACTCTGGTTGGCCCCAGGACATTCTCACTGGATTCCCTCTCTCTATACCTGACACCTGTCCTTATTTTTTTCTTATCCACAGTCTGAAGTTTGCCTCTGTACACTTTTATGTAGCCAGCAGGTGAGGGCTTGGGACAGAAGGGGGCATGCTGGAGGTGCCTCTACTGTGACGGGCAGTGTTGACCCTGCTCCCTGTAGAGTTTCTGAACTCAGTGCTATGCTTGGCTGTTTCTAGGTGGGGACATTTCCTGTTTTCACAGAGATTCTCTGGAGCTTGGCTCAATCGATTCAAACTGGAAATGGCAAGGCTTGGATCATTCGCTTTGCTGAGATACTGAGAGCTTGGGTGAGAACTAGGGGCTGGAATTTTCTGAGAATTCATTTTGACCTTCTGCATTCAGTTAACTAATTCTTCTCCCTGGTTGAGAGGCTTTCAATGTGGAACTGCACTAGGAGAACCTTTCTGGTGAGAGCCCTGAGCTGACATGTAGGAAGTCTACTGTGAGGTTTCCACGCTGTGATATCTGCAGGCCATAGGCAGATGTTCCTGGCAAAGCGAGTTTAGGGATAGATATGTGTGTTCACACGTGTATGAGTGTACATAAATGTATATGCTAGCGTGACTCTGTATCCATGGCTACATATTATTATATATGAATGAATTTGTTCATTTATTGTGCTGCGGATTGAGCCAAAGTTCTCAAGCATACCGAGCACATACTCTACCACTGAGCTACACCTCTAATCCTCATCTGAAGATATTAAGGACATGTATGTAACCCATCCCTGTTACACAGCAAGCCTTTAAAGAATCTTAGCTGGGTCCGGGGATTTAGTTCAGTGGTCCCACCGCCAGCAGCCTCGCAAGTATAAGGTCCTGAGTTTGGTCCCTGGTACCAAAAGAAATGAATCTTAGTTGTACCTCAGTGTATTCACTGTGCCCAATGCAGAGGGAGCCTGTCTCAGACACTTTTGTCACGGCTCTGTCCAATGGAATGAACCCTAGTAAGACTCACTGAACTGGCTCTGCTGGCGCACACCTGTAACCTACTTACTCCAGGGGCTGAGGCAAGAAGGCTTGCAAGTTGGAGGCCAACCCTGGCAAGTCAGGGAGACTGTGTCTCAGAATAAAACAATAATGTGCTGGGGTCATGATCCAGTGGGAGGCTCTGGACAGGCCCAGTGTACCGAGTGGAAGGGGCCCAAATTTCATGTCAACCTAAAAGGAGCGACAGACTTTTCAAAGCAAAGAGCTTTTTGATTCAGAAATAGCAGGGGATTGCAATCCAGACTGTACATACTGTGACACACAGAGAAGCCTTCAGCTACCTTGAAACGAAGACCTTTGGCTTGACAGAGGCTTGTTGTGGGGCTTGGTTAACTTCTCCATGAAAATAGCCATTGTCAGGCCTGGGTCCTTGCGCAGGTGACTTCTTGGGAGTACTGAAGCTATTCATTTTTCATTACAAAAGGAAGACATGCTTATTATTTTTATTAAAGGGACGTGATGACGTATAAAGAAAATTTTAAGGCTCCTTCCAAAATTCCATTATTCTTGTGTTTACGAGGTAGCCCAGGTTAACAAACTTCTGTTTTGTGTGTGTGTGTGTATGTGTGTGTGTGTTCCTCTGTGACAGCATTTGTTTGAACTTTGTTTTTTTAATAATGGAAACATGTAAAGGTTTAATAAGCCATTATGTACCCAATATCCAGCTTCGACCATTATTGACATAGGGAGAATACTGTGTATGTATTTATTTCTCTTTACTTTTTTTGTTGGTGGTTTAAAAATAAAATTTCAGGCATCATACTAATTAATCCGTAAATACCTCAATGAGAATATATGACTTTTCTTTTTTTATATTATCACCGCATAAATGTCACACCTAACAAATGAATTACAGAGTCCTAGAAACATTGCTGGGAAGATCCAGGATCTACCGGGGTTTGCAAGGCTCAGGTGAAGGGTAACAGCAATGACAATCAGCAAGTTCTGTTCTTTCACGGAGATGCTAACGGCTGAGCCAGAGATGCCGGATGCTGTTCCGGTGGGAGGAGCTTGACTCTGAGGCCCACTAGGGCTGGCTGCACCCGGTTTCTTCCAAGTTCATCTTCTCTGCATCCTTCTCACTCTGGCCTTCCCAGCGGACTCTGCCTCCTCTCCCAGGCTTCACTGACTTCAGCACTGTCTTATCTGAAGCACTCTAAGTACCACAAGAACAACTACGAAGCACTTCGATTTTTGTTCACTGTCCCCAGCACTTAGCAGAGTTTCAGGCACAGAGGAGACAGTCCATAAATATTTGTGGAATAAATGGGTGAACGAATGAGCTCATCTTTTGTTCACTGCACTCTCTAGGACTGGAGCATGGAGGCCAGGATTAAAGTCAGGGGTTCAGTGACTGGACTAGGGCTGGGACGGTAGAATCTACACCTGCAGCAGAAGGGTCCTATTCCCCTGGTCTGAGCCAAGTAGCTTTCCTTTTATTTTAGGAATAAGTGGAGCTGTGTTCTGTCTGGAGGTGGGACCACTCAAACTTGGGGAGTCTCTTGGGAGTTACTGACCTGTCCCCTAAGCCAATACTCCTGCCCCCACCCCAGGATTAGCAGTCTTCGGCCTTATCTACTGTTGACTTGAGTCTAGGAGATCTTGGACTGTTGGGGGTCTGTTTTCCCATCTGAAAATAAGGGGGCTGGACAATGGGTCCCGAAGGGAGAACAGAGGAGCTGCTCTCCATTCTACTGGTTCCCATCCAGATCCTACAGTTGTCTCAACATCCCAGGAGGGAAGACACAGCTCTTTGTCTCTTGGTTCATTTATGTAATTTAAAAACAACAAGTTCATTATTTTATATGAATAATCATATTTATTTAAGCCTCAAGCTACACTGAATAATATAATCAAGAAGCATTGACTCCTCTTGATATCTCTCACTCTGCCCATACTCAGTGTGGGTAGCTCTGCCCCTTCTTTTCCTTGCTCTAAGAATAACGAGACCATTACTGGGTAGCTTGCCAACTAAATGTCAACAGGGTCTGGGTTGCTCGCCTCTCCTTCCAGAGTCAGATCCCACGTTCCTCTGGTCTTGGCAAAGAATTGAAGGAAGCGGGCAAAACAAGCAGTGGCAAAGTTTCTTCAAGAAAGCAAAAGTGAAGAGGAGGGGAGACACTGGCTTTGCAGCTTGAGCTTGGGCCGCATAAAGAGAAAAAGAGGGTAAAACCAAAGATAACACTACACTCTGCACCTGGGAAACACAGAAAGAATTGTGCAGGCTATTGTGGAAAGTTTCAATAGCACTGCTCCCATGGCTGACATCTTACATGCTCAAGGAAACCCGCAAGAGCTTCTACATATGGGTCCTGAGAGGCAGTGCTTGGGTCCTACACCGCAGGGCGATGTAAGGGCTAGGCCACCCTACTGAAAA